CTGTAAACTCTCTTTTGGCGGGAACTTTCTTTCTGTAAACTCTCTTTTGGCGGGAACTTTCTTTCTGTAAACTCTCTTTTGGCGGGAACTTTCTTTCTGTAAACTCTCTTTTGGCGGGAACTTTCTTTCTGTAAACTCTCTTTTGGTACTGAACTTTCTTTCCGCCCATTTTTTCCCCCCGGGATCTTTCTTCCCGCAAATACACATTTGGCCAGGTGTTGCCCAACCGGCTACTGTACCGCTGGGGGGTAGAGACCGAGAGAACACTTGAGAGAACACTACCTCACAGAGCACTAGTACGAACAACTGGATTGATCTGAGTCACACAGCCATATCAGAGAGCACGCGCGTCCGCACGCACACACACACACATACACACGGACGATAAGGCCCGTACGACTCCCAAAACGCTAACAGCGACATCGGCGGCCGCCAACAGGAGGATATCGCACGCCCGTTGCGATATCTTCTTGGATATCTCCTGATACCAACGAACTAATGAGACACAGACGGGATACAGTCCAACGATGCCCGGTTAACCTGGGATTATAAATCCCCCCTTTAGGCTGGGTTCGAACGCGGTTTTTCTTATCTCTGCTACACACAATCTTCATCGCTTATCTGTGGCCAGCCCTGGCGCCACCAGCCCCACGGGCTTAATGACACACTACGTCACAAATAGGGCTCTTAACTACCATCTTCTAAACCATCATTTCATCGCGGGTAGTACCGTAAGGGGTGGTAGTGAGGGGGGGGAGAGTGGATAGTAATAGATTTACTGTTCGTGCTGCATACTCTAGCATTGGTCTTATGTACGTTGTATCATGTGTTCTTCAGGTGGCAGGTTGGGGTGTTAATCTCTCGTGTTCTTCATGTTCTTCTAACCCGTGTGGTGTGTGTGTGTGTGTGTGTGTGTGTGTGTGTGTGTGTGTGTGTGTGTGTGTGTGTGTGTGTGTGTGTGTGTGTGTGTGTACAGCACAACTCTCCATATCCGCCTCCCCCCCCCCTTAGCGAGGCAGATCCATCTATTTTTAACCCCCCCTCCCCAAACACCTAAGGGGAGAGACCCCATTCACCCCCCCCCTCCCCCCATCAACCAATTAAGGGGAAATATCTTTTCCCCTCAACTTGGAAAATCACGAAACTAATTCAATATCGGCCGTGTAGGCAGCGGGCCAGCCTCATCCGCCCCCTCGACCTTCAAAATTATTCACTGTGCAAATGGGTATAAATCGATATCAAACGCACGTCTAACTTGACTAACTTTACACAAATTGTAAATATGTGTTTATCTTGGAACGTCAGTATATAGCCTAGTAAGTAGGGACCATGAATATCTAGGAGGGGTAGGGGACCATGAATATCTAGGAGGGGTAGGGGGCCATGAATATCTAGGAGGGGTAGGGGACCATGAATATCTAGGAGGGGTAGGGGGCCATGAATATCTAGGAGGGGTAGGGGACCATGAATATCTAGGAGGGGTAGGGGGCCATGAATATCTAGGAGGGGTAGGGGGCCATGAATATCTAGGAGGGGTAGGGGGCCATGAATATCTAGGGGGGTAGGGGACCATGAATATCTAGGGGGGTAGGGGGCATGAATATCTAGGAGGGGTAGGGGGCCATGAATATCTAGGAGGGTAGGGGGCCATGAATATCTAGGGGGGGTAGGGGGCCATGAATATCTAGGGGGGGTAGGGGACCATGAATATCTAGGGGGGTAGGGGGCCATGAATATCTAGGAGGGGTAGGGGGCCATGAATATCTAGGAGGGGTAGGGGGCCATGAATATCTAGGAGGGGTAGGGACCATGAATATCTAGGGGGGGTAGGGGGCCATGAATATCTAGGGGGGTAGGGGGCCATGAATATCTAGGAGGGGTAGGGGGCCATGAATATCTAGGAGGGTAGGGGGCCATGAATATCTAGGGGGGTAGGGGGGCCATGAATATCTAAGGGGATAGGGGGCCATGAATATCTAGGGGGGGTAGGGGACCATGAAAATCTAGGTGGGGTAGGGGGCCATGAATATCTAGGGGGTAGGGGGCCATGAATATCTAGGGGGGTAGGGGACCATGAATATCTAGGGGGTAGGGGGCCATGAATATCTAGGGGGGGTAGGGGGCCATGAATATCTAGGAGGGGTAGGGGGCCATGAATATCTAGGGGGGGGGGGGACCATGAATATCTAGGGGGGTAGGGGCCATGAATATCTAGGGGGGGTAGGGGGCCATGAATATCTAGGGGGTAAGGACCATGAGAAGCTTTAAGGGTTAGGAACCAAGAATGGCAAATCAATCCTGGTGCTGGACATATATTCAACATTGAGACCACGTGGCGCCAACGACCCATTGTCGCGGCGCAAGAATGATTTACTTATAATCAATTCCACCCCCGGTTTAATCCCCCCTGACCCTCCCCCCCCAATTACATACAGGGGGGGGATCTGTGCTTATCTTCTACGCCTGTCTGTGGACGAGTGGCAGAGAGTGAGAGATAAGTGAGAGATAAATGAAAAAGAGAGAGAGAGAGAGAGAGAGAGAGAGAGAGAGAGAGAGAGAGAGAGAGAGAGAGAGAGAGAGAGAGAGAGAGAGAGAGAGAGAGAGAGAGAGAGAGTGTGTGTGTGTGTGTTGACAAAGACCATTTTGGCGGGAATGTGTGTCATGGCGGCAGTTCGGGTCCTGGAGCGCCCTGCTGGGTTAATATCAACTTTACAGCCCGTCCTCCAAAAATGGGGTTGTAAATGTAAGGAGACAAATAAGTGCAATTATGTACTATTCATAGCAGTTAGGAATTGTACTTATTTTCACTTAGTATTAAATCGTACTGTCAATATATTGTGAATATTTGAGTTTACCTGAAAAACTGAATAGAAAACCACAACCTCACCTAACCGTCTTAGTTTTTTGAAGATAATAATTTTATTGCTTCTTAATTACAATTAGTACTTAACCTATAGCTATATTGATATTACAGTTTTATAAAACTAATAAAACAAAACTAAAATATATCAATAAATTGTAAAATAACTCCGGATATTTTAAAATTTTGTATAAAATCTATATTGTTTAATAAACCAGAAAAAAAATTCTTGATATTTAAAACTTGTGTATTGCAAATTGAAATTGAAAATTTCATCCTAAAATTCTGTGTGTCTTAACAGAAAAACGAGGGGAATTAAATCGGGGGAGGGAGTTGGGTAAATGTAACAGCCTCATAAGTGCAATTATGCACTGGTTATGACAGTTAGAAAGTGTACTTATTACACTTAGTATTAAATCGTACTGTCAATTCGGAGGATGGGGTTGCAACTTTAACATCGTTCGATCGTTCACAGTCTACCTTCCTCATGCGACTATGGAACAGTCGCAAGCAAGAGCTGTGTCACACTCTTGCTCTTTCTCTGCCACTCTCCTAGGGCCAGATTCACGAAGCAGTTACGCAAGTACTTTAAGTTTACACCTTTCCTCAATCTTTGACGGCTTTGGTTACATTTATTAAACAGTTTACAAGCATGAAAACTTGCCAATCAACTGTTGTTATTGTTATAAACAGCCTCCTGGTGCTTCGGAGCTCATTAACTGTTTAATAATTGCAACCAAAGCCGCCAAAGATTGAGAAAAGATGTACAGGTTCGTAAGTGCTTGCGTAACTGCTTCGTGAATCTGGCCCCCAGTTTGTGTGTACTCGTTCCTCTTTTTTTTTTTTTTGCATATAGTGCGTTTTTCCTTTTGTTCTTCGTTGTCTATATTCCGCGTTCTTCTAGTAGGCTCTATAAGCCAATCACCGCTGTTCAACCCGGGGCGTCGGCTAGACACTCTCCTAGCAGCAGCCAATCACAACCCGGCGTCAGCTAGGCACTCTCCCACCAGCAGCCAATCACAGCCCGGCGTCAGCTAGGCACTCTCCCACCAGCAGCCAATCACAGCCCGGCGTCAGCTAGGCACTCTCCCACCAGCAGCCAATCACAGCCCGGCGTCAGCTAGACACTCTCCCACCAGCAGCCAATCACAGCCCGGCGTCAGCTTAGACACTCTCCCCACCAGCAGCCAATCACAGCCCGGCGTCAGCTAGGCACTCTCCCACCAGCAGCCAATCACAGCCCGGCGTCAGCTAGACACTCTCCCACCAGCAGCCAATCACAGCCCGGCGTCAGCTAGACACTCTCCCACCAGCAGCCAATCACAGCCCGGCGTCAGCTAGACACTCTCCCACCAGCAGCCAATCACAGCCCGGCGTCAGCTAGACACTCTCCCACCAGCAGCCAATCACAGCCCGGCGTCAGCTAGACACTCTCCCACCAGCAGCCAATCACAGCCCGGCGTCAGCTAGAGACGCCGGACGGACCAACAAGAATCAACAAATCATCTTGCCTGGTAAACAGCCCCTACAGCGCAGGTGAATGAAACATCTTGACTGGTGTTTCACATTGTTTACGTCCTCTTAAGGAAGAGCCAATCAGCGTTAAGCTCATTTGAGTGATGAGCGCGGGAAAACTGGGCTGCGCCTCGTTCATCAGCCGGATGGAGAGACCAGAAGCCAGCGACCGTTTAACGGTTTCCCGGCGGTCAAGTTTAAATGACGTGTCAACTCACTGGCAAGTGAACCACGGCGGGAATATCGGCGCCTGCCAAAGTAATTAGCGACATTGTTTCTGTAATAAGTCTGAAATTTGCTGATTATATCTTGGATACTCTGTCTCTCTCTGTCTATCTCTCTCTCTGTCTCTCTCTCTCTCTCTCTCTCTCTCTCTCCCTCTGTCTCTCTCTCTCTCTCTCTCTCTCTCTCTGTCTCTCTCTCTCTCTCTCTCTGTCACTCTCTCTCTGTCTCTGTCTCTCTCTCTGTCACACTCTCTCTCTCTCTCTCTCTCTCTCTCTCTCTCTCTCTCTCTCTCTCTCTCTCTCTCTCTCTCTCTCTCTCTCTCTCTCTCTCTCTCTCTCTCTCTCTCTCTCTCTCTCTCTCTCAGTGCACAGCGACATGTGTCGGGAGAAAGGGATGTGAAGAGGGGCGGAGGAGAGAGGAAGAGAAAGGAAGGAGAGGAGGAGGGTAATACAGTGCTAACCTATCTGTAATTATAGAGAAGTGGCCCCTATAGCTCTAAATTCCCGCGCTTGTTCCCATTTTTTATCGTAAATACTCCCACGTTTTCTTTGACCATTCTGGCGGTAACTATAGAGGTGGCTTCTACAACTTCTTCTTCTAGTACAGTGTTGACCAGACGCACCAGGTGCCTGTATGTCCTAACATGTTGCCTAACATGTTAGGCATTAACAGGGAGCCGGTCGGCCTAGCGGACAGCACGCTGGGCTTGTGATCCTGTGGTCCCTGGTTCGATCCCGGGCGCCGGCAAGAAACAATGGGCATAGTTTCTTTCACCCTATGCCCCTGTTACTTAGCAGTAA